TTCACACTTCTTATCCTGCCTTCTTTTTTCTTTCCATTTTTTTGTCTTATAGGTTTTGAAAAAAGTAGGTAATTCTCTAGATTTCCTCAATTTAACTAGTTTTTAATGGGTCAGGAAACATCTAGGAACTAATGAAACCTTTGTATACTTGACAGGTGCACCTATGCTGTGTGGGTCTTCTCAGAAAAGTATTTTGGCAGTATTTGGTGGTGAGGGTAAGGAATCCTTTTGGTAGGTATCTTTGAAGAGAAGTGGAGAGTTGCAAATCAAAGCCATTTTTTAAGCAAAAAGTGATTAATATTTGTCCTTAGATTTCTCTCCCTCTTTTGAATACTTTTGTATTTTTGTTTAAATAATCTTGCCCCTGCTACCATGAATTTTTCCATGCACTATAAAATCTGTGATTTTTCTTGTCCCATGGAGGGCTTACCTGAAAAGGAAAAGAACAATAGCTATTCTTGACAAGCAAAGAGCTGCTGCTGACTCAGTGGTCATTAAGTCCCAACCCTTGGGTATTTTTCCAGAGGTTAGGGGTGGGCACTATCGCTTCTCTGCTCAGTGAGCCCTGGCTGATGACTTAGACAGGTCAGTCACAGAAGCCATTTCTAGCTTTGGAATTCTGTTTTTGGTGAGAAACCAAGTGGTGTTGGCCTCAGTTGCCTACTCCAATGAGAGCCAACTGGCTCAGCCATGTAAGGAGGTACATTCAACCTGTCTCCTCTCTTCCTCTCCACACATAGCATTGAATCAGGCAACCATGATGAAGTCTTCAAAAGGAGAGCAGAAATATTGGTAATTGTCAGATAATTCTTAAACTTGTATATATATATATATATTAATTAATTAATTTATTTTTATTTTTGGCTGCGTTGGGTCTTCATTGCTGCACACAGGCATTCTCTAGTTGCGGCGAGCAGGGGCTACTCCTCGTTGCGGTGCACAGGCTTCTCACTGTGGTGGCTTCTCTTCTTGCGGAGCACAGGCAGGCTCTAGGCGTGCAGGCTTCAGTGGTTGTGGCACACGGGCTCAGTAGTTGTGGCTCACGGGCTCTAGAGTACAGGCTCAGTAGTTGTGGTGCACGGGCTTAGTTGCTCCACGGCATGTGGAATCTTCCCGGACCAGGGATCAAACCCATGTCCCCTGCACTGGCAGGCAGATTCTTAACCACTGCACCACCAGGGAAGTCCCTAGCATGTATATATTTTTAAATACATGATTTGCCTTGATCTCAATAGCTACCTTCGGAAACTAAAACAAGAATGGAAGATTCCATCCACAATCCATCTCTTGGCAGCCAAACCCTCAACACACAGGAAATGTAACGCGAATACAGCCAAATTCAGTGCTTGGGCTGTTTGGTCCAGACGACTTCCCACAAGAGAGTATCTCAGTAAACGCATAGAAGGAGAGCTCTGTTTAGAAGCATTTGGAAATCTTCTTTGGGCCACACTAAGGAGTAAAGTGGTTCAATTATTCTAAAATATAAAGAAAAGCTGTACTGGCACTCATAATCTTGCAGTCAAACTAATGCTTCATTAATATTTTTACACACTAAGAAAGTCCTCTTCATCTACATTCTCTTTTAGTGGTGTTCGGAGTGGAAAAAATAATACAAGAGGCAACAGTCTGACTTTTGATGATGGAAATTTTTTTTTCAAGATTCTCCAGAGAACTCTTTACCACTCCCTGTTCCAATGCTTTTTATTTTATTAACCGTAATAAAATACTTTATGTCATACTGTGCTAGCCCTTTTCATTAGTGTCTCAAAGCAAGACAGTGCTTAATTTAGAGCCCAGTCATGGTTAGGTCCAGGGAGATGACTGCTGGGCCCAAGCAGGAACCAGGCAACTCTGCCCAGTAATTTACATCATGAAGGGTGTATTCCCTTGAGAACAGGATTATCACCGCTGAGTTGGGCTCCTGCTGACAGGGCAGAAGAGGCAGTGCAGGTGTTGGAAACTTGGATGGAAAGAACTCAGGAAGAGAGGTGGCCATCCAGCTTCCTCTCACTGAGAACCCTCTCTCTTCCCCGGGGCTGGTCAGGGCCTTCAGGGTGTGACGTCAGATCCACTGGGCAGTGGAAGACCTGTGGCTAGGAACAGAGGTGGGGTCAGGACAGGGAGGTGCCAAGGGGGGCTGTGGATGCCTCTGCCTGGGGAGATCCCTGGGGAACACATGCAGCTCTGACAAGTTTGTTGCCCTCCTGCCCTTCCTGCTCACTGTCCCCTGCATTGTCTCCATTCAGCAATCATTCCCTTGCTGAGGCCCTGTTCCATGCCAGGAACTCAGCTACAGGCTGGGGGCCAGGCAATAAAAGCAAAATAGTTTTCAGGAACCCTACAGTCGTTCCTGAGGAGCAGAGTTCTAAGGCAATAAACTGATTGTTGCTCTTCAAGGTACAGAGCCTGTATTAAGGGAGATGAGAGGACTTTCCTGGTGGTGCAGTGGTTAAGAATCCGCCTGGGGGTTTCCCTGGTGGCGCAGTGGTTGACAGTCCGCCTGCCGATGCAGGGGACGCAGGTTCGTGCCCCGGTCCAGGATGATCCCACATGCCACGGAGCGGCTAGGCCCGTGAGCCATGGCCGCTGAGCCTGCGCGTCCGGAGCCTGTGCTCCGCAACGGGAGAGGCCACAGCAGTGAGAGGCCCGCGTACTGCAAAAAAAAAAAAGAATCCGCCTGCTAATGCAGGGGACACAGGTTCAAGCCCTGGTCCGGGAAGATCCCACATGCTGCGGAGCAACTATACCGGTGCACCACAACTACTGAGCCTGCGCTCTAGAGCCCGCGAGCCACAGCTACTGAAGCCCGAGCGCCTAGAGCCCAAGGTCCGCAACGAGAGAAGCCACCGCAATGAGAAGCCTGCGCGCGGCAACGAAGACTAGCCCCTGCTAGCCGCAACTAGAGAAAGCCCACGCATAGCAATGAAGACCCAACGCAGTCAAAAATAAATAAATAAATAATTAAAAAAAATTTTTTTTAAAGGGAGATGAGATCTGGGGCCCAGGACTAGGAGACTTGAATGAGATCACTGCCATTGGGGTATGATAAAGTACCTCCACCTTCGCTCCTCTCATCCCTTACACCGGTGGCCAGATGTTGCTGGGAACTGAGAGTCAGATCAATTTAAGGAAGAACTTTCTGACTCAGAGCTGTCCAAAGATAAAATGAGTGGTGTTGAGGGGTGGCAAGCGCCCGGCCACTGGGATTGTTGGAGAAGAGGCTGGATAGCTACCTGGTGGGATTAACAAGGTCCCTTCCAGACCTAGTAGTCCATGAATCCACAGGGGTCTGGTCCACTGGCAGTGGCAATTCTGGATGAACTAGTCTGCTCTGCTCTGACCTGTCATGAAGATAATAAGGAGGCCTGATCAAGGAAAGGGTGATGGGAAAGAGCCTGGTGATGAGGGAGTTGGGGACTAAGGGTAGGAGCGGGAGGGGAGGGGTATATACAGCTGCCATAACAAAGTACCACAAACTGGGTGGTTTTAAACAACAGAAATTTAATCTCACAGTCTGGAGACTAAAAGTCCAAAATCAAAATGTCAGCAGGGTTGGTTCCTTCTGAGATGTCGAAAGGAGAGTCTTCTCCATGCTTCTGCCAGCTTTGGGTAGCCCCAGGTGGTCCTTGGCTTGTAGATGCATCACTCCAGTCCCCTGTCTTCACATGGCCTTCTGCTTATAAGGACACCAGCTATATTGGGTCAGAGGCCTACCCTACTCCAGTACAACCTCATATTAATTTGACAAATTAGATCTGCAATGACTCTATTTCCAAATAAGTTTACATTCTAAGGTATTGGAAGTTAGGACTTCAATATAACTTAGGGGGACATAATTCAACCCATAACAGGAGGCAACTTGCTTAATTCCTGAGCCTTCCACTTTTCCCACCGGTACAACTCCCGTGGTGGCGCTGCATGGAGAGAGGCTGGGTGGCTGGAGTGGACACCACCCCCTCTGTTGACCTGAGCTTGACTTTAGATACAGCCTAGCCCCCAGAGTGTTCCCAGGACTTCAAACTCCTGCCCTTCCCTAGAACCCACTTCTCCTCACAACAGTCACAGCACCCACCACTGGGAAACACGTGTATCCTGGCACCTTAGAGCCTCAAGGTCTCTTCTCTCTCATCAAGGTTCTCCCGGCTATCTTTCATTCGCACCCAGGCAGAGATAACATGCGGAGAGTGTGTGCTGGAGGGTTTTGTTTTTTTTCTCTTTTGGGACTCATCTTACAAAGACCTAGACAGTCCCCTAGGCTTTTGGCCTGTTTCACCCAGTGTTGGACAGCTGGTTACACTAAGTGTGTCCCCAAGATCTGGGGGGAGAAAGATTATAAACTACAATTCTAGGAACTTCTGCCAGTGATACCTTCCATGAGATTACCAACACAGAGGCAGAATGTGGTAAAATGGGGAAACATCAGACTAGAAGCAGAAGTCTGAACTTCTATGACCACACACTACGGATGGGCCGTGTGACAGTGGTGGTCCCGTCACTTCTCTCCTTCAGCTTTTCCAATGGTAAAAATAAGTTAGACTATTTTAATGCTGATGTTCTATGATTTCATAAAAGTCAGTATTCTATGATCTCACAATAGGTCTCTAAGGACCATTCCAATGCTGATATTTCATGATTTTATAATGGATAGTTAAGCTTTTTATGCTGGTTAAGTGGAAGGAAAGAGGAGACATACTTCATTTCTCTGAAAGTCAGTTAATATCTTTGGCGAATGATGTCACCTTTGAGCTTCAATTTTCAGATCTATAAAATACAGAAATAACAATATGAACCTCATGAAATTGTGGGAGCGAGGGTGCTTGGAGAGAAGTACAGCTCGGTACAGACTCCAGCCGGAAACCTCTCGGAACGTTTCCTCACCCAGAGCCCCAGCCAAGGTAGGGGAGAGCTCACCGAGAGGGACGGGAAGGGGCGGGGCGAGGAGATGGACATGGTTCTCGCCCCGCCCCCGCCCCTCCCCAGATATCGCGAGAGGGCGGGCCCGCTTGGGTTTGGGTTTGGCGTCGGCGTCGCTCCGGCGTTAGGCCGGCTTCTCTCCGCGGGCCGCGGATAAAGTGCGGGTGGCCTAGGGTGCTGTAAGGGACGGTCGGCGCGCTAAGGCCCGCTAGCCACGCGGCGTCGGCTGGACGCCAGAGCGTCCGAGTCGTTGTGTCGTGACAACGACTCTAGTGGCTGTCTCCGCGACAGCAGGTGCGGCCGTTTCAGCCCCAGGCGGGCTTGGCGGCTGACTGGCGAGTCTCTGCTCGCGCCCAGCCCTTTCCTTCCTGTACCCGGCGCCAAGCAGCGACGCTGAGCCGACCGCCGGAGCGACGGGCAATGGCGGCCTCGACGGCCTCGCACCGGCCCATCAAGGGGATCCTGAAGAACAAGAGCTCTACGACTTCCTCTGTGGTGGCATCGGCCGAACAGCCCGGCAGGAGTGTCGACGAAGAGCTGAGGTAAGAGCCGCGAGGGACGGCCATCGTCGCCCGGGTCGGCCTGGCCAGCCCCTTCTTCCCCGCCTGGGCGGCCTCGCCCTCCCCGCCCCCCGGCACTGTTGCCGCCCCCCGGCACTGTTGCCGACCCCCAGCCCGACCCCGGACACCGAGCGCGGCGGGCGGGCGGGCGGGGCGGCTGCGTAGATGCGGCCCTTGTGCCGCTCGGGTCTCCCTCCGCCGGCCAGGCTGAGGGGTGGAGTGATTATAAAGAAGACAGGAGCTATGACGTTTGTTGTGTGGGTTTTAAGTATATACGCATATATAATAATTTGAAAACATACACCATGATCTTTGAGCTTCTGGAAATTGGGAATATTAAAGAATCAAATTGAAGTTAAAGCTTCACCTGTTAAGCATTTATTATTTCTTCACTTCGTATCGGAGTGTCTTAAATTCAATGAGTAAAGTGTATTTTCTTGGCTTGGGAGCCCTTTAAGATCTACTCGCAAGCTAATAAGAGACTCCTCCGAAAAAGAGATAATTTCTCCATTTTTCTAATTGCCCTTCTGCCATAGTCGTTCCTTTTTAGGTGAACATTACCACAAGAATCATGCCCCATTCACTCTCTTGGGTCCTGGTTTGTCATTATCTCTGCATTAAAAGAAACCGAAAATTTCCCAGTCTGATCTATATTTAATGGAAAGCTACTTATTGCTAATTATTTTTGCATCTGCAATGAGAGTTTGAGCGCTTTCTCGTCTTTGTTCCTCTTGAAAGACATATGTAAGCTCAGAACAGTTCAGAAAGTACCAACTTAAAATGATCCCATGATAATTTAGTTGCTTTTGCATACTCACAAATACATATGTGAAAAGATGTTGACCCATAGCATTGTGTGTGATAGTAAATAATTGGGAACAACCCAAGGTCCCTTAAGAAGGACTGGTGAAATATTAATTATGGTACATTAGTATAATGGGAAAACAGACCAGCCTTTAAAAAGAATGAAATAGGTGTTAATGCGCAGAGAAAGATATCCAAGGTGCAGTCCTCAATGGGGAAAAAAAAAAGGTGCAAAACCATATATATAGTGTAAAATACAACACTGGGTTAGAAGTCCTCCGGGGCTTGGGTGTTCTAAGATACTAAACACATAAGGACTCTACATTCTGGAAGTAAGGCCTAAGAAAAGTTGTTGAAATCTGTGAAGTCATAAAGCTAAAATGAGGATGTTCCCGAAAACTTTGAATATTGGAACTAGGGCACACCTGTTCAAAAGGATCATTTTAGGGCTATAAAAGGAACTACAGTTTGGTGATGGTAAATTTATGGGGATTTGTGTTACCTAGAGGAAAACATTAAGTAGGATCACAGCTCAGAATCATGGGCTTTGGGGGATGGAAAGGACCTTAATTTGTCTAGCACCTCTCCTACTCCCACTCTCTTTTGGATGCTTGACTCTCTTACGTTCTCCAACATGCAATTTTCAAACCTCTATTTGGGGTAAGCCACTTCATATGGGAAGGGGGGGGTGTTGTAATGGGATTAAGAAAATAATCTTACCAGAGCAAAGCTATAACAGGAAGACCAAGATAGTCTTAATAACAAAACAAACTATGGAAGACTTTTATATGATTTCAGGGTGTTCAGCGGCAAGAATGTGGTTCTCACTAGCATTTAAGTTATTTACCTATTCTCCAGTGCGAGCTTCTTTTTGTTTGGCTACCAAGTAGCTTATTACTTTCTTCTGTCTTTTGCTGCTGCTTCTGTTTATTCTCAACTTTGGTCTGCTGTAATTTCTGGTGGCCCCACTCTGTGTGTTGGCCTCTTTATGTAATTGACGGGGGTTTACCTCCAGGTCCTTCTGCCTGGAAAGCCACTATACTAGACTGTCTCACCTGCATAGGGCTGCTCCTTCTCTAGGAGCTGCTAACAGGGCAGATTGACTTAAAGGGGGCCTTTTGCAAGGCAATTGACTTTGACTTATGTAAATTAGGAGGTTATAGTCCTGTCTTCAAAGGCAGTTACCAAGCCCTAATTCATTGAGGTTTATGATGTTTAGCTCTAAGTAGTAAAAGGGGATGGGTTTTTTCATGGTAAGTGTTATTTGACTGGAAGGGAAATAAACTAATTCTGTTCGTAATACAGTACACATTATTATTTATGGCACAGCTCATGCAAACAATATTAGTGACTTTATGAGAGCCTCTTTGAACAGAAACAATGAAAGTATAGGTGAACACATTTGAAACAAACTTTTTGTAATGTTTAAGTACAACCAGTATTTTCCCTTTCATGTATAAAGGACCGAAATAGCTCTTTCAAGTACAATGCACTTAAAATTCAGAAACTAAAAAGTACGGTGTAATGGTCTAACTTCAAATGTTGGAACCAGAGTATTAGTAAAATAATCTCATATTAATGTGAAAATGACCGGGGATTTAAGTCAGTTCTCACTGTTCTCAGTAGTGACACTCTATAAAGTCACCACAAACACTGAGTTAGTTAATACTGAACTGTTACTCCTAGGGGGAATACAGACTTAGGTTCCTGTAAGCCTCTGGTCACAACATTTTCATCAACCAATCAGCCCATAACCTTTTAAAATTTCTGTTTCTGTTTAAAGACACGTAATTTTATACATATTGTTGATTCATCAACATTGAACACATGGCCAATAGCACTATATGTAACTCATGCCTGAATGAAGTTTATCTAACACATACTTTCTCCATAAGACACATAACAATCATCTTGGGCTTAGGAGCACTGGACAGCACTTAAGCACAATCTTTGGGAGCCATTTTGAATGGCTAATTCACCAAAAAAGCAAAAAACATGGTACTAAATAGATAAAAAGGACACATTTACAGTAAGAGAGCTGAAGCAGGGTTTAATCTCAGCTGGGAACATGTGCATCAGACAACTCAAATTTTTCCCTGCTCTATGCATGTCAGAGAGACAGAGAAATCTCAGGTATTGATTTTGGAGTTACAGATAAATTTTGGCAAGTAGTCAGATTTGCAAATACAGAATCCACGAATAACCATACCTTTCATTGGTGCCATTATCATGTGAAGTACAGTGGTAGTTTCCCTTTTCTGCACAAACCACTCCCTACCCCAACGCCATCAGGTTGTGAGAGGATATAATTTAACAGAACATTTTATTTAACATAAAGAGATGTTACTAAGGGATTTTTTTTTAAGTCATGAGTTGTGCTATTCCACTGGTCTCTAAATTTTTTGATTGTGCATCATTTTAGTAGGAAAAACTTGAAATATGTTTCAAATATGTTTGTTTATGATTTATATACATATACTACTACCATTAGATAATATCTCAAGATTCAATATATACTTAAAGTAAGGTTTATATACTGCCGTATTTCAAGTAGTCTTTAGGATTTTTTTTATACAGTTCTTGTCCAACCTTTTTGTTTTTTTAATGTCCCAGTGGTGTTATCTTCTTATTCTCTGTACTTTGCATTGGTACTGTTATCTTCAGTGGTTTCTTCAGGTACCATTTGTCAGGTACCACTTTTTGAGGGTTAGTTCAATTAAAACTGGATATAGTCTGTAAATCCATATAATTAGGCATAGATAATGTCAGTATATTGCAGCACCCTGCTCAACTAATTAGAACACCACTGTCATCACTGTGATTGTGGAATTCCCATTCTTTCTGGATACTTTGAATATAGTGAACAACCTGTGAAGGTCAGACATAACAGATCTAGTGAGTAAGTACGTGTGTTTCATCAAAAACAAGACACCATTGATTCTAAGATGTACCATGATTTTAGGTAGCACCAAGAAAGAAAAAAATACTGCCAATTTTAAGATGCCATCCATTTTAAGATATATTCTGTTTTCAGAAATATTGAAGTGAGAAAAATGTTCACTTGGAATTGTTGAAAATATTGTGTTACTAAAGCCTATCTTATTAGAAGTGTTAAAGGTTAGTGATTAATATGGGGCCAGATTGCCTGGGTTCAGATCCTCTTTGCTACTTATTAGCTCTGTGACTTACAGTGCGTTATTCATTATATCCCTGCCTAGTTTAATTATTAAATGAGTTACTAAATGTAAAGTGTTTAACCCCGTACCTCACCCTCAAATGTTGGTCTTATTCTATTAGAAATACAGAAATCTAATTTTCCCCACTTTTGGGGTTGTTGTACACAGTATGCTTTGGATTCACTGTGTTCAATTCAAATTCTGTAGTAGTCTTAGGTAATATAGGCAAATTCTGCTTGGAAAAATTGTGCTTAAATTAATTTCCTTTAATATAATTTTATATAAGCATGCTTCAGCTTTGTCTTTTCTTGCCTATAAAGGGATATGGAATATGGTCAAAGGCCCACTGAGTAAAGTTTTCCAAAAGTGACCTTTTATTTACTAATTGCTTTTATTTTTAAGTCTTAGTTTAATTGTTCAAGCTTCAAAGGCTTGTACTTTGTCAACCTACAGAAGTTGAATCTTCATTTAAGAAAGAACCATTTCTTGAAATGTGGGGTTAAAGTTTAACACATTGAAGCAAAATCCTGCTTCCCACTCCAAACTCAGCTAAAACTGTAAAAACGAGAAGGTCACAAGCAACAAGAAGTATGAGTAGGTCTTTGAGATGGCATCATATGAGCTATGAAAGTGAAAGTGAGAATTGGTGACTTTTTCTGGTGCAGATTTAGGCTGCCGGAAAACCAATCACCCAAGAGGGAGGAGGGAGCTGAAACTAGCAGGTGCTTTCACCCTCACAGCAGATCTTCAGTGTAAGTGGTACTGTGCCTATTTTTTGTAAGTGGAGATGATGGCCCAAAGAAGGTCACATGAACAGTTTGTGGTAGTATTGGGAATAAACCAAGTTCACTCCTTGGGTTTTGTTACTCAACTGATGTTAATTCTACCAAAATTTAAGAGATGCTAATTTCCATATCCAGTGTCCTCTGCCGACAGTTTCTTCGACTTCATTACTTTCCTCCTAAGAATTTCCAGCATTCTTTGGAGTCTGTTGTTTTATGCCCTTACTGAAAGTTCATGGTTTTGCAAGATAATATCTCCTCTGGATCTTGACAGTTGTAAGGTTCTTTTCCTCTTAGTATTGTGGTGAAGATGTGGAGTGAAGCTTTGGATATATAAAACTTTAATTCTGTTTATAGTAGATAGTAAACTAAATGGCAAGCGAATGGGAAAAATTTAGGTTATATGTAATGTGGTTCTATATAATATAGCTTAAATCTTATATATATCTTTGAGTTATATATAATGTGGTTTAAACCTTCTCATAAATTTGAATGAGTTCTTTACATTTATGTAGATATAAAGAACTCACTCAATGAGAATGTTTCCAGTAAATAGGCAAAGGATGTAAACAATTCACACAAGGAAAGTAAAATAAGCATTTTTTCATATGATTTATTAGGTAATGAGCAGAGAAACATAAAACAGCATTTAAATATCAATTTATACCTCTCAGGTGGCAAAAACACACACAGATACCCAATCCTGCAAAGTTTTGGCAGTTATTTGGGGACATTACAAATAGTCCTCTTTTAAAAAAAAAAAGCTATATGGCAACATGGAGTGAACTACAAAGCTCTTGATAAATTTAACCCAGATATGCTTGTCCTAGCAAATTATCCTGAAAAGTCATTGAATACAATATGCACAAATGTTCATTTCTGCTTTACTTTAAGTAGGAAGACACTGGATTCAATCTAAATATCTAATATTAGGTAAATAGTTTGTTATTGAATATTATGCATGTAATATTAAAAAGGTAAAGACTAGAAAATACAAGCAGCTTATGATAAAATACATATACTGATATAGAAGCTATTTTTATATATACTATACGTATACTGTTTTGTCTATATTTTTATATATACTAATAGCTTGGGTATTTTTTCACGTATGTTAGAGTGGAAAGAATATACAGAAATCAAAATTGTTAGTGGGTTAAGGTACTAGGATTGTGATTTTTCAATTTTATCCTTAATTTCAAGAAAACATCATTTCTTCTTATATCCTACAATTCAGTTCTTTTTCTTCTATCATTGTCTCACAGAACATATTTGCAGGGTGTTCGGGGGTACCTCTGTAACTTCAGAGGGCCATCTTCATTCTTCTAATGATGATAAATTGTCATTTTAATTCAATATTGCTAGCATCACTTAGGAAGTAGCTTGTTTTACTTTGAGATTAGGACACACCTAACAAAGTCATTTTGTATGTGTTTATTTTTTAAATATTTTATTGTAATTTAATACACATACAGAAAAGTGTATTAGATGTAATTTTAAAGCTTAAGGAATAATTATAAAGCAAACACCCCTGTAACCGCCATCCTGGTCAAGAAGAAGAATGTTTCCATCACCTCAGAAATGTCTCCTGTCTGGGACTTCCCTGGTGGCCCAGTGGGTGGGACTCCACGCTCCCAATGCAGGGGGCCCGGGTTCGATCCCTGGTTGGGAACTAGATCCCTCATGCATGACACAACTAAGATCCGGTGCAGCCAAAATAAATAATAAATAAATAAATATTAAAAAAAAAAAACAGAAAGAAAAGAAATGTCTCCTGTCCTTTCCAATCGCAGTCTCCTCCCCTGTAATATAATCACTATCCTGACTTTTACAGCAATTCCCTAAGTATACATACCTATACATTTTAGTTTTTGCATGCTCTTGAACTTTATATAAATAGATATGTGCTAGTTATCTTTTACAATATCTTTAATAGGGAATCTTAATTAGACTGTATTAATACAGGTTTTATGAAACGTTTACCTGTGCTTTTGTGTTTCTGACTCGGACTTAACTCTGGCTTATCATTTCAGAGGCCTTGTCTATCAGGAGGGAACATTGAGTTACCATATAATGGGTCTCCCTTTGTCTATTAATTGAATTGCTTTATTTACAAAATTAATCTAATTCTCTTAAAATTTGTATATGTCTTTAATTATCCTTCTGATCAGAAGCTTCTTGATCATTTCTGCTGTCTAAAATCTTTAAAGTGTATCTCTCTTCACTGTGAGTTTCCTTATGTAGAATATGACCATGAGAAGACCTAAATCATTTGCTTTCTAAATTTACAGAAATTTGTAGATAATAGAGCTATTTAGCACAATACAAATCTGAAACTGTAGATTTAGTCAAATAGAAAACTGACTGCTTTTTAGAAAAACTCATTCTGTAGCAGATCATAAATATTTCAAAATCATTTAAATTTTGACTTGTGGGACAGTGGGAGAAGGCATTCATACATAAGCAATTTAAACATTTTTTCAGAATGCCTTATCGCAAGCCATTCTCACAGTGCTAAGTGAGATATGGTTTCCAAACTTGTAACAAAACTTTAGATTTAAAAATCCTAAAAATTCCATTTTTTATAATTTCCATGTAGAGTAAATACAGCCCAAGAGAGAATGTTTGTTGGACTTGCCTGTAGTAACAGGACTAATGAAGGGTAAGTGGAACTTGAACCTTAAACAGTTGTATGTTACTGTTGTTGTTTTTTGCCACAAGACCAACTATTACTCTGATGGTCAGAAACTAGGCATCTAAAGAAATCAATACTATTTTAAAGCAACATCTATATACACAGTCTAGTTCAATCAAGTGTTATATACATACACACACTAGCAACATTTAAGTTTGATTAGTTGAAAATTCAGGTGAGTACCTTGCTGAATGAATAAAAAAGCAGTTTTTTGAACAAGAAATGTTACTTCTGTGCTTTAAAAATAAACGACCCATTAATTTTTAGCTTCTTATAAACTTAAGATTTTGATTTTTTCATGGTGAAGAAACTTCTGTTTGGTGGGGGGCGGGAATGGGAGTTGTAGTGGCAGTCACCTGTGGAGTATATCTAGGCCAACATTTGCCTCTTGATAAAACTAAGGGTAAGTAGGCTTAAAAGGAAGTTGTAGTTAATAGTACTTAGTCTGCAATTGAATATTATTCAGCCTTAAAAAGGAAGAAAATTTTGACACATGCCACAACATAGATGAACCATACAGACATTAAGTGAGATAAGCCATCCACAAAGGAAAAATACAGTATCAGTCCACTTATAAGAGGTACCTCAAGTGGTCTTAGAGATAGAAAATGGAATGGTTGTTGTGGCGGGGGTGAGGGGTAGTGTTCATTGGGTACAGAGTTTCAGCTGGGGAAGATGAAAAAGTTCTAGAGATGGATGATGGTGATGGTTACACAATAATGTGATGTACTTAATGTCACAGAACTATTCACTTAAAAATGGTTAAAATGGGGCTTCCCTGGTGGCGCAGTGGTTGAGAGTCCGCCTGCCGATGCAGGGGACACGGGTTCGTGCCCCAGTCCGGGAAGATCCCACATGCCGCGGAGCGGCTGGGCCTGTGAGCCATGGCCGCTGAGCCTGCGCGTCCGGAGCCTGTGCTCCGCAACGGAAGAGGCAACAACAGTGAGAGGCCCGCGAATAGCAAAAAAAAAAAAAATGGTTAAAATGGTGAATTTTATGTTATGTATATTCTACCACAATAAAAATATGAAGGAAAAAAGTGATTAGCCTTAAATGGGGACACTGTGGGCCCTTTATGGTAGAAAGCAGAAGAACATAAAGTCAGGCTCAACTGCCACGAGTGGGCACATGTAATTTTTAAGGTGACTCAGAACATGGAGAAGAGAATATAATATTAAAATTTTAAAAATGTCTTTCTTCAAGAGCAGTTCAAGATCCAGGTATTGGTAGATTTAGGAAAATTGAAAATATCTGCAGTAAAACCTCACCAATGTTGAGCAAATATGGAAAGGATGATTTGAATCTGTGTAAAGTCTACATTGATTTTTTTTTAAGGTAGTTTTATTTTTAAGTATATAACCAAGTCACAAATTGTATATGTAACAGATTGTTGGCTGGCACAGAGGTTGTTGATGTCCTTTTTAATGAGTAGATAAGGATTTCTAATTAAGACATTTAATTATTGAGCACCTTAGTAGTTGTACAAATATTTTGTTGAATGGACACTAATGGATGTTCATAAAGCATTTACAAAGCATTTCTAGTTTTCTTAAGTAGATTTATTCCAGGTGATCTGAAACCATTTATCAGCAAATCGTTATATTTCTAAATTTTAAAAAAAACAACTGAGGTATAATTTTATGTGTAATCTAAATCTTTATTAATGGTATCTGAATTTAATGAGGTCTTCTCTGTAGTTTTATGTTATGATTATTTTGATTGTTATAGATACTGCTAAAAAAAATTAGGCCAAGGAAAATATTGCTGTTGTGTTTTTTATCAAACTATTAAAAATATATCGTAGATCCAAAATCCTTAACTACTGAGATCAGGCAATGTGTAAATTCCAGCTTTTGCTGTTATTCTATAGGCCAGATGAAGATTAAACATGTCATAATGTAATAGTTTTTTGAATGCCTGGTGAAGAATCTGTTTACCCCTCCATATCCACAGGTTCTGCATCCTCAGATTCAACCAGTCATGGATCAAACATATTCTGGAAAAAAAATTTCCAGAAAGTTTCAGAAACCAAACTTGAATTTGCCATGTGCCAGCAGCTATTTGCATTGTATTATATTGTATTTACAACTATTTGCATAGCATTTACATTGTATTAGGCATTATAAGTAATCTAGTAATGGTCTAAAGTATACAGGAGGATGTGCAGAGATTATATACAGATATTACGCCATGTTATAGAAGAGATTTGAGCATCCTTGGATTTTGGTATCTGTGTCAGTCCTGGAACCAATCCCCTGAGGATACCGAGGGACAACTGTAATGTGTTTTTAATATGTGGGCACTAAGTATTCTGTAAAATATTTACTGACACTTTATTGTAGTTACTTATGGCTTTTACCCAAGTCAGTTTCTGTTCCAAGAAAGTAGATGTAAAAATAGAAGTTAGCAGTCAAATAGAAATTGCAATGTGGGATTTGGATGTTCGTGAATTTTAGATGTGTACATTTTGTATCTTTCACTACATTGAGGAAAAAATTTTTTTCTTCTTATTGTAGTAAAAAGTCCCAGAAGTGGGATGAAATGAACATCCTGGCGACATATCATCCAGCAGACAAAGACTATGGTTTAATGAAAATAGATGAACCTAGCACTCCTTACCATAGGTAATGTTTTGTACACAGCATTCCTTTTTTGACTTGTTTCCATTTTGCGTTTGACATGAGCTTCTGGATAACAGATGATTTGAATCTTTGTCTGTTTTTTTATATTTGTTACTGGAACACTAATTAATAACTGCATATTTTTGTGTAATAGTAAAAGTAATATGGAACTTTATGGAATCCATTTTTTACATTATAATTATAGTAGTAAATGTTTATTCATTGCACCTCAGTGGTCCCTAGCAGCTAATGATATATACAAAGTGACTTTGCCTTCCTTAAAGTCATCTATTTGTAAAGGAAGATGAGAGCTGGGCTTGTTTGCTTCCTAAGTAGGTGGCAGGGGCTTATTCATTCTCTTTGCAGAAAGGGATAACTTCACAGATGGTAACTCTTTTTTAATCCATGCAAAGACAAGTGGACATTACTACTGTTTCATGTCCTTATTTTTGAACTTACATGATATTGTAGTTCATATAATTGCATTGTAATTGTTAGTTTTGAGTCTTCCAGACTCAAATGACTCATTATCATTTTTTTAATGAGTTGTAAAATGATAGTGTATGGCTGTAGTTAGTATGAAGACAAAAATAAGGCACCAATAAACATAATGAGATTCTAAATAAGTTAGAAATACCTAATTCAGATCATGCCCAGATTGTATTGAAAAAAATAAAGATTTTCAGGACTGAAATATTTTGTATTTGTCACTGAAGTAAAACAATATAAATCTAGAAGTTACTATTAAAATAGAGTTAAAGAAATTCTGTTTTAAATCAATGGATGAAACTTTGGAAGATAAGTTGAGATAACTTGATAATAGCAAAAACAGTAAAAACAAGAATTAACATGATTGTGACAAGGGGAGAAAAATAATGAAATAGGAGGTACAGATACTGAAACTCAGTACTAATAAAGCTTGAGGAAAGAAGTAGACATATCATTTATGAAAGTGATCCTTATTTTTCTCCTAATTACAGGTATATACTTTAAAACGTAACCTAAAACTTCTATTGTACCAGAAGCCAAAGTCAATGCTTTCTTCCTTTTCAATAAAGGTAGTAGACATCCCTTATCTGTGTTGGTTGGAGATAACTATCCTAAAAAAATTAAGATCAAACATGATTCAAAAATAAATAGCTGTAGCCATTATTTTAAAACTGTTTATATTTAAATAATAAAGGTAACCATTTTTCGCAATTATGTGGGGAGCAAATATTTCGTTAGAGAGTAGATTGCGTAAGCTAAATAGCTTTTAAACTTCCTGAATTAGGTCTTAGGATCTAATTTTGTTATTTTACCTAACCTGTGTCTGCATAGATCATTTGTGTCTTATCTTCAGGTTGATGTACAAATACATAATCTAAAGCTGGATAGGGTTCTTTTGCATTATTTTTTCCCTGCCACTGGATGGACTAACTGAAGTTTTTTTTTTCCCCTCCAGATGATTCGCGTTTTCAGTATTTATTTTTATAGTTGCAGTGGGGTTTTTTTTTTACATGTTTTTTCTTTTTTTAAAATTATTTGAAGGCTTTTCTTGATTGGTGCTATACTTTTAAATATTTGCATCAAATAGAAACAGTGTAAAATTAAACTTCAAAGATGACAACAGAGCCATAAATACATTGATACTTTTAGTCAATAGAATTATGTTTCTCTACCTTGTTTTCCTGCTTGAAAAATTATAGTTCAGGTATTAATTTATAATGTGCTTATCATCCTAGTATGGTAGGTGATGATGAAGATGCACTGAGTGATTCAGAAACCACTGAAGCCCTGACCCCAGATATCTTAGCTAGGAAGTAAGTATTGATGACTATAAAGCATTTTTCTCATGCTGTTTTTAATTCTGCAGAGTTAAAGGCATTTTACTTTACTTGTACAAGTGTAAATAAAAAGCATGTGCTAAATAAATAAGTTTATCTGTTTTTTTCATAGCAACTTACATAGTCTTATTTCTAGGTTAAAATCAAGGTATGTAGATTGAGAACCAGAAGCTGGTACACAGATTCCCTGTGTCAGTTCCCTGAATGGAGGTTTTTCTGTTTTTGCTTTTTAATATCCTGTCACCTGGGTTTTAAAGATAGAAGTGAGAAAGGCAAAATAAGTTGAATTCCTGAAAAAAAGCTCTATTTGCTGTTCATGGGTTTGTCAACTTCCACTCTTCTTGTTTATTGGTTTCTATATACAGTCCCACTCTCTTGCTTTTTATGTTCCTCATCAGGTTATAGCTAGCATATTAATGATCTTTAGATGTTTTTATGAGACTAAAAAGTAGAGTGAGACACTCAACTAATATAAGACTATCACAGTATTGATTTCTTTTTAAATGATTGTTGTATAGATTAACTGCTGCTGCTGAAAGCTCGGAGCCAAAGTGTCGAGTTCGTGAACAAGAAAGCAGTGAAGATGAGGATAGTGACCTCTCACCTGAAGAACGAGGTAGTTTCTTTCTTTTACTGCTTTTAGCATTGCTAATAATTTTTGCTAAGATAAATACATTATATAGAAGACTGTCAAATGGTTTTCCTTTTTAGGAGGTGGATGGTGGGAGATTAAGGAGCAACATTTTTATAATTCAGATTCTACTTGTGTGGGTTTACTGTATGACATCTCCACACCCCCCCCATTTCAAGAAAATATTACTGTCTGTAAAGGAATTAACATGTGTTCCTTTCTTTGTACCAAGCATCTATACCAGGTAGATGCTCAGTAAATATTTATTAAATTAATACATTTAGGGTCATTGAGTGTTTGGATGATCTTAAAGTGGATAGCAGTAAGAGCTAATTTCTCAGTTGCTTGTGCTTTTTCTGTATTAAGGCATTGGTGAAGCTTACCAGATGAATCAAGATGGTCAGACTTGGAATAAAGATTTTTGTTAGGTCCCATTGAACAGAAAGAACAGAAGTGTCACAGGAAAGGAGATAAATATAGCCCTCTCAACAAGGATGAAAGAGGCTCTTTTAGCCCACACAATACATACACAGTTAAGGCATTGCTACCTATTCATTGTTCCTGTTTTTACAAGTAATAGTTCTTATCTGTGGAGGTAAGGAAAGATGGAAAATATTTCACTTTGTTGTTTTTTATAATTTTGAAGGATGTGAATGTATAATCTCAGGAACTGAAAATTGCTTATATAGTTTATTTTCAATTATTTTTTAATAATTTATTTATTTGACTGCGTTGGGTCTTCATTGCTGCACGTGGGCTTTCTCTAGTTGCAGCGAGTGGGGGCTACTCTTCGTTGCGATGCGCGGGCTTCTCATTGTAGTGGCTTCTCGTTGCGGAGCACGGGCTCTAGGCACGCGGGCTTCAGCAGTTGTGGCTCACGGGCTCAGTAGTTGTGGTTCACGGGCTCGAGAGCGCAGGCTCAGTAGTTGTGGTGCACGGGCTTAGTTGCTTCGCGGCATGTGGGATCTTCCCAGACCGGAGATTGAAGCTGTGTCCCCTGCATTGGCAGGCGGATTCTTAACCACTGCACTACCAGGGAAGTCCCTTCAATTATTTTTAAAAGGGAAAACCAAGCCTATATATAGGAAAAAAGATGCAAGAAAAACACACACCCTCACAAAAAAGAAAAAAGAGATCGAGTAGTTTGTTTACTTGAAGGCTTGAAATGCAGAAACTACCTGTACTGTAAAGAAGTTTAGAAACTTTAGAACTAAGATTCTGAATATTTGCTAGTTAACTGTCAGGATCTTTGTCATGTGTAGCTGTAAAGGTACAATTTGCTATTCCCTCCTATCATCTTTAGAATGTAGTGTATTGAACAAAACTATGATAGTTTGAGTGCTATACAAGAAAGAAATATAACATATAGCATAATCTCAAATTGTATTATATTATCTTCTATCCTCAGTGACTTCCTGATTTATTTTCCCAAAATATACCCCAAAGGCCTTTGAAACGGTTTCAGATAGAAATTGTTCCTAGAGTTTGTTGATTCCTTATTCTCTGAAAACGTGATCTATTGAGAACAGGGAATTTTTTATTAACCTCTATTGTCAGTTTCATTAAGGGATTTTCCCTCAAATTGTAGTTCCAGAAGTTAGCCAGCAGGGGGAACCATTTCACTAGTTACAGTTTCACAAGTTCAAGTTCCCAGTAGTAAGAGTTACTGATACAGGTGTTTATTGCTTTTAAATAAATTACATGTCTGAACGTCCTTGTTTATTAAAGAAATTCTTAGAAAATTTTATTTTGGGGACTTCCCTGGTGGCGCAGTGGTTGAGAGTCCGCCTGCCGGTGCAGGGGACACGGGTTCGTGCCCCGGTCCGGGAAGATCCCACATGCCGCGGAGCGGCTAGGCCCGTGGTTGCTGAGCCTGCGAGTCCGGAGCCTGTGCTCTGCAACAGTAGAGGCCGCAACAGGAGAGGCCACAACAGTGAGAGGCCCGCATACCGCAAAAAAAAAAAAAAAAAAAAAAAAGAAAAGAAAAAGAAAATTTTATCTTGTAACTAGTAACATAACAATTAAAATATTGGCTGTGGAGTCAGATAGATCTAAGTTTGTACTCTAGGTATGTCACTTACCTAATTTGCCTAATTTCTCTGACCCTCAGTTTCCTCATTTCTAAATGGGGGGCTATAAAAATATTTGGAGTCATTTTTGAGTATTAAATGAGATAAAGAATTTAAGACACTTAGCACTGATTCTGGCATATTGTAAGTACTCAGTAAATATTAACTTTTAATAACTTAAAATAATTGGTATATTCTCCATTATTTTTAAAAATAGCCAAAGAAAGTATAAAAAGGATAATTTACTTGTCAAGTTCACATGGATAGTTGATTATTATTAGAACTGGGCCTGAAACCTGAAAATTTTTGTACTCTTTGGCATTATGTTGCTCTGCCATACAAAGATTATAAGTAAAATTAATATTCAGAGAAGGTTGAGACCACTTATGTTAGCTTTCTACAAAATAAATGCATAAATTATATAATAAATTTTGAGTATTGCAAAACTAAAATATATAACAAGCAAAACTGAGTTTAATATCTCTTAGAATTAAAAAGAAATCATCTTCTTAGACTATTACTATAATTGACAAAAGAAAAATACCGTAAGATCAACTCTTAGGAATAAGAAACTACAAATTAAAACAGCGTCGTGGTGCCTTTCTTTCCTTTCAGATCAACAAAAATTAAAAAGAATGACAATATCCCTTTTGGTGTGAATGTGGAGAAATAAGTTATTCATATACAATTGGTGGGTGTGAAAAATGGTTTGGCTTTTCTGGACGGTGATATGGCAACATATGAGCCAAAAGCTTTAAAAGAAAATGACACTCTTTGCTCTAGCAATTCAGTTTCCCAGGCTTTATTTCAATGTTTCTCAAACATTTTTTACCAAGTGCCACTCAGCATACATGTAAACATAAAATTATAAAAATTAAAATTTCACAAAACATTACTTAACCTTTACTATATGTGATATGTTCTATCCAGTTTATTCTGTTTTGTTTCATTTTTTTAAAATGCTGGTTATAACTTACTAAAGGATTATAAGGCACAGTTTAAAAAAACACTAACTAGGGCTTCCCTGGTGGCGCAGTGGTTGAGAGTCTGCCTGCCTGTGCAGGGAACACGGGTTCGTGCCTGGGTCTGGGAAGATACCACATGCTGCGGAGCAGCTGGGCCCGTGAGCCACGGCCGCTGAGCCTGCGCGTCCGGAGCCTGTGCTCCGCAACAGGAGAGGCCTATGTACCACAAAAAAAAACAAAAAAAACGAAAAAAAACCACTAACTAATGTTGAGAAAATAATAGAACAGATGCACAAATATGTAAGTTGAACCTTGAACAACATGGGTTTGAACTGTGCAGGTCCACTTATACTAAATACCTCCTACACAGTCTGCGGTTGGTTGAATCCACAGATGCGGAACTGTGAACATGAAGCGCGAACTGTAAAGTTATATGTGGATTTCAACTGTGAGGAGAGTAGGCACTCCTAATCCCCACGTTGTTCAAGGGTCAACTGTATATTACATCATAAAAAACAATGAAAATACAAAGGGGGAAATCAGAAACCTTTGACCAAGTTAGGGGATTAAATTATAACTCACTACTTTATAACCTTCTAAAAATTGTGTAGATCTGCTATGTACGTGGCAGAATTTTACTCTATCTTCATATACTTTATTGTCTAAACTCTGGATTATTTTAAGAGTGAAAGGGTCACTAATACAGCTCCATCAGACAATAGGCATAAACTGAGACTTCCTGGGACGTTGTCATTCTAACTATACAGTAAGTGAGAAAACAGCATATACATACAACAAGGTATGATTCATTTTTATAAAAAATACATTTTTAGAAAAAAGTCGAGTCATAAAATATTAATGATAATTTCTGAGTGTGGAGATTGAGTGATTTTTAAGTTTCTAGCTTTTTTTTAAACTTTGTAAGTTCTTTTAAGTTGCATGAAAAAGAACATGTGTTACTTTGTACTGAGAAAAAGCCTTACCTTTTTAGTAAATGTATCTGGTATTGGAGGCAATTAGAATCATTTTTTGTTGTTTTTTAATCTTGGCCTTTACATCATCTGAAAGTCATCACTAAAAATTTAGTCATGAGGATTTGGTCTTTTATTGATTTTTTAAAAAATTTTTTACTTTCTTCTACAATATGGTACTCTCAAAGAGTAAAACAAATCACAAAAGTAACTTAGAGAAGGAGAAAGATGGCTGGCAAGATCTTGGTAGTTTGCAACAAATGTTTATGGGATGATGATATGGATGTTGATCTCGGAACTTTCCTTCTCCCAACCCAAATAGAGGCTGAAAAGTGACTGATCAGTAGTGACAACTGTAAATGCCAGTGTTTAGAACATAAATAAGTATAGATGATAAAAACTTAAAGGGAGGGACTTCCCTGGCGATCCAGTGGTTAAGACTCCGCGCTTCCACTGCAGGGGATGTGGGTTCGATAGAGGGAATTAGGGGACATAGAGAAAGTACTTTGAATAGCCTTATTCTGAGAGATTTCTCTTACGCCTTTTTGGCATTAAAATATTTTTATGAATACCATAATAAACCTATGGTGAATGACTTTTAATGCTCTTGACAAAATAAACAGTTGGCAATTTTATGTCGACTCCTTTTTTGTCTTTCAATTTACTGGTCTAAGAAATTCTAAAATCTTATAACGTTTCTTAAAGTTGATCTTTAAAGTGCTATATATTGATAAAATATGGTCAGTTGTGTTGATTTATAGCTATTTTTGTTTCTGTGGTGAAGACTATAAATAAAGAATAGTCTAGAATCACTTTACTGTTCCTAATAACACATTTTTCTTAAAATTACTCTGGGAATGAGGTTATGTTTTTAGGCCAGCAATGTTTGTTTTTTTTTCCTCCCCCCGTCCCTTCTTCCCTCCCTCCCTCCCTCTTTAGAGCCAGCAATGTTTTAAATCATGGCAATTTCTTAATGGATAATAAGAATTTTTTAAAGGAATTTTTTCTGAATTATAAAACTAGAAAACTTGAAAACATTAAAATTACCCCATAGTTCCTTGACCCAGAACTAACGGTTGTTAATTGCCGAGTCTTATTTTGTGCCTGTGTGCACATGTGCATGCACGCAGGCTTTGTACACAGTATGTATATGGTATTATAGTTTTCCTTTTTTCCCATTCAACTCTATCTGGAGAATTTTCCTATATCTTTAAATTTCCTTCACAAATATAACTACTAATGGCTCTTGCTCTTAGTCTCCCATTAAGATGTACTTGAAGCATCTAAGGCAAAGGTTGGTAAACTTTTTCTATAAACGGCCAGTTTTTAGGTTTTGGGGGCCATATGGTCTCTATTGCAACTACTCAACTCTGCCATTGAGTACAAAAGCAGTCTTAAGCATTACAAAAGCAAATGAGTGTGACTGTGTTCCATAACACTTTACTTACCAAATAGACACAGGCTGTAGTTTGCCAGTCTTTGAGCTAAAGACGCCTACTTTTTTGTATCTTGTAGAAAAAAAGCGACAGTTTGAAATGAAAAGGAAGCTTCACTACAATGAAGGACTGAATATTAAATTAGCTAGACAATTAATTTCAAAAGACCTACGTGATGAGGAGGAGGATGAAGAAATGTCAGAGACTGCAGCTGGAGAAAGCATGAATACAGAAGAATCAAATCAAGGTTAGGTGTTTTGAAAATATCACTGAGACACTTGTGGTCCTTTGTACCTAAATAATATACTTTATTTTGCTCGCAACTTTGAAGAACCTCAGAAAATTTTTCTAAAATTCACTTTTTATGCCAAAAGTTTAGAAAATTTCAACCCCCTGTTGGTCAGTTTCAAAATAATGTTTTTATGCTCAGAGTTGATTTAAGCCCATATGTTATGTTATATGTCTATGTTGTTTGGTCTACTTGACTTTAAGCAATGATGTTTGTCTTCATATTAAGCTATACTTTGTTTTTAATGGTTCAGATCATATTTTGTCTGTCGTAACAATGTCAATTAAGGTTTAAACTTTTTAAAGAAACATGTTTTTAACACGGAAGATTTGTTTTAACATCCCTTCAAGCATAAAGTATGTCATGTCTTTCCAGTGTTGATTCTTTTGACTGTTGGGTCAACAAATTATTTGGCTGATTTTTGTTTGTTTTAAGTCTCAGACAAGCAGCCATTGCAGCCTACCAACTCTCGATCAGTCATAGAAAATTGATTTTATTTATTTATTTTTCATAAACTGTTATTCTGGCATTCAACAAAGGTGAATCTTCTATACCATTAATGCAGATTTTGTGCCCATCTACCTACTCTTTGTGCTGCAAACTGGTGCTTTTGAGTGGAGATGTAACTTACTTTTTTTTTTTTTAACATCTTTATTGGGGTATAATTGCTTTACAATGGTGTGTTAGTTTCTGCTTTATAACAAAGTGAATCAGTTATACATATACATATGTTCCCATATCTCTTCCCTCTTGCATCTCCCTCCCTCCCACCCTCCCTAGTAACTTACTTTTATATGTTGTGCCTTGGATGATTAAGTCTTAGGAAAGTAAATAATTATTATATTATTGTTTTGGTGAGCAGATATGAAATATAAGTGATTCTATGGTAGAACCTGATGACTGTGCTCATTATAATAGCAGGATGACAATATTTTTTTGTTATTCCATGTTATGCTTTTGCGTTTCAGTTTGTTTCATACAGCATTTTCTTTCCATTTTATTCACCATAGTCTGTTTAACTTGAACAAACTTTATCTTGAGTAATTATTGTTGTATGTCTCTCTCTTCTCTCTCTTTAAATTTATTATCCATTTTTAGGTGACCTATCTCCTAGCTGGTCTTTGTTTCCCTGTTACCTATATCTTGGTGATCTCTTTTTATATATTCAGTGCAGATGTTTCTGGGTTATAACTTTTCATCAGTTTCTTCTCAGACTTTCAGTATCTATTTGTAGCGACTCTAACAAAGCGTTGGGAATACCCTTCATTTGCCAATGGAAATTTGTACCAGCACCACTATGCCAAATATTAAAGGGATTTGTTTTTTAAGCCACAGCTTTTGAAAAATAAATCTGACCTTTTGTCTGTCTCTGCTTCTAAAACATTGGATTTCACAGATTTAACACATAAATGCATTTTTTTCATTTAAGTGTAATAGATGATTAAAATTTGTATTAACGCCGATTTTTCTTCAGTGGGGATGAAGTACTCCTTACATAGGAGTATATACTGCTTCGCTTCAATAACGTCCACAAAGATAGAAAAGACTACATAATAAGGCATAGAGAAGAAAGTTCATTATTTATTTTCTGTTCTTGGGCCCTTAAAAAAATTTTACCAGCTTTTAAAATCTCCAAGGATCTATGGCACCCATTACTTTTTTATCATTTTCCTTCTTTTCCCCCTCTTCTACACTCCTGCCCATCCCCACCTGTTTTATTACTGTTTTTATAAAAAGAAATGTGGCATGTTTAGACTCTCAGGAAATTTTTTATCATTTTTATATCATAAACACAAATCTTTTATAGTTCTGGATATTTGAGTTGTAATAAACTCTTAGCTATCCACCTGTGATTTAGTCACAAAAGTGTTCAACCTGAAACCTATTTGTCCTGTCACTTAAATAGATACACCTGTTCTGCTCTTTATATTATTTACGGGGTATACAGATTCTTTCATATCATACTGATCAGTCTGCATGAAATATCTCTTGTTTTTTACATCTTTCTATTTGTTTATCATACGTAACAGTGGAAGGAAACTTTAGCTCAGGTAGTTCCAAGTTTGGCAGTACTCAACAAACAAATTATGTTGCTGTTTTTTCTTTTATCATTGCAGGATCTACTACATGTGACCAACTGCAAAACAAATCACAGAGCTCATAGAAGGGATTCGTTCAGCACAGTAATTGTCAGATACAAACCGTTACTATAACATACTGCTTCTTGTTCTCTACAATTCATGACTTAAGTACCAAAATGTGTACCAGTTATTATATATTGCCAAGAATTAAATAACTTTAGAGACTAAATAGACTGAAAATGCCTAATTGATACATATATTCTTGTGCCTAGTACTTCACCACAAATACAGCATAATGTCATCAGTCCAAAACTACATTACTTTTGTAAGAACACTGGTTAATTTGTATAAGATATATAGCTTTTTATGCTTTAGAAGTTAATATCTTTTGGGGAGGGAGAAGGGATCTAATTTATTTTCTTCACTTCTAGATGTGATAGCTCTTATAAAAAATTAGGTTTTTTAAAAATCAAAATCCAATTGGAACAACAGATCATACAGGCTGATGAATATTCAGCCTGAAAAGTATTTTAACATGCATCTTCAACTTGTCTGTTTAATTGAAAAGAATTATAAGAGTTACTGTTGCATTTTCTGGTATACTACCTTTCAAATTCCTGTTGCGTTTCTTTTATGTTTACAAGGAAAGGATTAAACTTTTTCTCATCAAAACTAGCTTTTTCCACAAATAAATTATCAGGTTAAACTTGCACTAACGTCTGCTCTGACTTTTTTTTTGTACTCTCGATGGGCAGACTTCAGATCAGTTTTTTAAATAAATATAATTCTAATATAGTCTCAGCATTCCCTTTATCTACTTGTCTTAACGTCCTACCTTTGTTTCTTACTCCTTTCCACGCATATGCACAGAATCCTTTACCTTTATAAAGGATCATAAAGATTGTCGTGACATTAGGAACTTTTCCTTTTCTCACATATTCTGTCATTTGCTGCAACAATGAAAATCTTATTTTGACTATCAATGCCTATTAGTTCTTCTAATACATGGAGAAAATAGATTGAATAGCAGCAGTACTATAGACAGGAAATACAATTCAACTGCAGAATTTCTACACCTCTGTGATTTACAGCTTGCTAATTAAAGTGCTATTATTAGTTTATTGTTTGACTTAATTAGACCTTAGAAAACAACTAACTGAGGCTTTTGGGGGTTTTTTTTGCATGATGAGAGAATTGTGTGTAACCAGTGATATGATGATAGTTCCTGAATGTATAGACAGAAGTAAATCTGAACACTTTTTAAATTTAAAAACCTTAAATAGTTCCTGCTTTAAGGGAATATCATAATGTGTACTATGACAAATGTACTTTATTCTTCTAACACAGTAAGATTTGGACTTCTTCCCTGAAATGAAGTGCAGTTCCTGTGTATCTTAGTTTAGTGATGGTTTCATTTCTAGTCAATTATTTGTATCTTAATTTTTTGTTAGTACCGAAGGAATCCATTATATGAACAGACTTTTAAAATAATTTCTGTATACTGTATGTATGTATGAATTGGCTTTTATTGAACAGCTTTTCTTCCACTTGCAAGTTTATAGAAATATCAATATGTCAAAATAAATAAGAAGTGGGAGAATTCTTTGCTGTTAGAAGAATGTTTTTATTAATTTGAATGTCTTTTTCTTTTAATGGAATCCAATCAGTACTTTTGAACTGCAGGTATAGTGTTCTAACTAAAACATATTAGCTAGTAATACTACTGATTTATAAACAATGTTTATCTCTACTTTCTGAATTTAGAATGTTGAGGTATTCTTACCTGTTTAAACCTGTTTGGGGGTATTTAAGCTTATACATATGTGTGTACATATGTTCATGCGCACAGACCTCTGTTTTTGGTTTTCTCATTTCGAGTCCTTAGAAAGTATCCACATGCTCTTTATTTGTAGAAATAGCTGCTATACAGTGAAGAAAAGGTAAGACCTTTAACAACTGATCCTTTTGGTGTTTTCTACAAACTATTTCTTGAAACTTAAATCACAGGCAAACTTGCATATCTGGTTTCAGGAAGTAGATAGTTATGTAAGAGGAATAAGACATGGCAAATAGCATGCCCAGTAGGATTTTAGGTAGTCAAATGTGACTGAGTAAAACTGTTCATCGTCATGAATTCCTAATTGACACAGTATTGAACTACACAAAAAATGGACCTTCATGACTCAAGTTAGATTTTCCTTTGGAGAAAGTTATCTGTCAGTGTTCAGTTCTAGCCAAAGTAGATTTTACTTTCAATTTTTTAATCAATATCTCTTCTCTGCTTAACTCCTCTGATGTCATCTTTTCTGTTTATTTTTCAGTCTGAAATTCAGCAATGATGCTTTTTAAAATCTGAGACATATAATGGTATAAATGGATTGTTAAAAATAACTTTAAATTGAAGATTAAAGCAAAGTGCCATTTTTCCCTAGACTTCCGTTTTGTTTACATTTTTTCCTCTTAAATTAGTACACCGAACATATTGTAATAAAATACAGTAATATGACGATTGTGTGTGGATTTTATTTTCTTGTTACCCAGCTATCGTGTTCCATTGGCTAAATGTTCTGGATACCAGGAGAGGGTCTTGAACTACACTGTGACAGAGTAGTTTGTTTAGTTGCCCAGCATTGTGCTAGGTGTCCAATATATAATCCTCAAAACAACCACGCAGAACAGGTATCTTATCAGCACTTTGTAAGTGAGGAAAATGCTCTTGGCCAAATTCTTCAGTCTCAATGTCTCATACATGCCAGTTGACAGGATTCAAATCCAGATGTAACTAAATTTCATACTCTTTATCCATGCCTTTTTAGATGTAGAAATTCCCTCATTTTTGCAGTTGTACCTTACAAGTAAACTTTATTTGGATTATTGATACACATCGTGTGCTTTAGGAGTAACATTTTTCAAGTGTTTAGTTTGAGTTTTTGTTTTTTACTCTAATCTGAAGAAATTTGGAAATTTTGTTTGAGGTTTATATACCATTGAGGAAAAATCTCAGAAGTACAATTATACAGTGGCTGGAGATGTCTAAATTCATGTGATTTGGTTTGCATTCCACAAGTTTGTCTCTGAACAGAATGTTTCAAACTCAAAAAATGATTTTTTTTCATAGACTCCATGTTACAAAGTAAGTACCAAGCTAGCCTGTCAAAACTAACATATACCTAAGCCAGCATTTCCCAGTGTGTTCCGTGAAACCCTCAATCCCATACGTTCCATGAAAAGGATTCCATGAGCAAATGTGCTTTGCACATGCTACATGCTTTATTCCCCTACCTCCCAGAGATTTATAATAATGCACATCATCATATTAAAGAGTCTGAGACATCCTGCTTAAGGAACTGTTTAAAACTTTGGTTTAACCTAGTATTTATCAGACGTTTCACAACCACTCCCAACCCCCTTTTCCCTCAAGTAGAATCCCAAATAGGAGTAGGGAAATAGTCTGGGATCTCTAATATATGAAAGTTGAACTTCCTCCTAAAAGAAAAGAACAGTTTACCATTGAAAGAGGGAAGACACGGTAGCAATAACTGCACATTGCAGATTGTATATAATTTGCCAGATATAAGACTTTAATTTTTGGTAACTTATGCAAGAAACTGTAAAATACACATCTGGGACAGATGAGGGTGTGGTTGATGTGTTTGGTTATAAGCTGCTGTGGTTTAGTATTGATACAACTATTGCTCAAAGACTTGCTGCTCTAAGCAAATTTCCAAAATGCCTTGTCCTCCCCATCAGCTCACATAACTGGTTGACAAGAGCACATCTGCTACTCATTGGGAAAATAAAAGAGCAGATAGCAAGTGTCTCTGGTCTGTGGCTTACACCCCCAAGCCTTGGTTAGCTGCCCCAGTGTTTGGGGGGGATGTTGGGGGTGGGGGTTGGCTCCTACACTTTAAATTTGGAGTTGACTCATCTAGTCTTTTATTTGAGGAATTATTGGTGGGAGGTAATGCTGAGAGGAGGTAAGTGAGGGTGGATTTGGCAAGTGTTCAGTCATGATTTTATCTCAACTGCCCGACCTGAAATTTTTTTCGGTAAGTCTGCCAAGTGAGTGTTTAGCATTTCAGTTCTGTTACCAATGGGAATTATTGTAATTGGAAGAAAATACACATTTTTGTTCTCCATTTAATTATTTTGGATTGTTGACTGTGTTGACTAGAAGTAGAAGAGGATTGTGCAGGCTGATCTTTGGCATCTTAATATCATTTGACCTCACTTTTTAGGCAAAGGGATTATAAGCAGCTTTGCAGTGTGCCTTGATCTAATAAATGATACAGCCTGAAAAAGTGTTAACCAGCAATAGACCTAACATGCATAGGAAGAAGAAAGTTTAATTATATTCTTGTTTAGTTATACTCCTTGGTATCTGCAGTATCACTTACATAAGCAGTTACTTAAAAGATAATATATATATTTTCATCTTCATTTGTAAAAGAGATTCCCATGTGAAAAATAAGCACTTTATTGTAGGGCATCATGCCAAGCTAATTGGGAAATATGGATGTGAGACTCTTGCCCCGCCTTTAAATATTTTAAAAGTTACATGTACATACAGAGCAGAGAGCACACTTTGGGGGGGAACAAGGAAGGAGTAAACTACACACTTACCTTCTCTAGTCATTCTGAGGAGGCCTTTCTGGTAGGGAAGCCCGGGCTAATTATTATTAGCAAGACTTTGTTATTTAGCAGATTACTTATGCCGTTTTCCTGAAGGTAAGATTTCTTAGTGATCTAAGACAAAATTGTTACTAAGCAAGCTAGAAAGTTCCCACAGAAATCAAAAATGTTAAATGACCATTTTTTTTAACAAAACTTAATCTGAAATGTTGGATTTTAAAAGTTAAAGCAAATTTGTGGATTGTTGCCAGTTAACCTGCTGCTGCCATTTTTAGTTATCCCTAAGTCAGGCTATTGGGGGAAAAGGGGTGGGTTGAGAGGGTCTGGGGCAAGACCACAATTATGGGAGTCCCACTGTAGTTTGAAGCTATCAGGAAATGTGCTCTGGTTCAGTGCTAACTTTGAAAAGCGGTCCCCACTTGTCCAAGTAGGAGTATCTTGAGGTTTTTTATGGCAAATGACAAAGTATAGAATTCAATCTAGGAATTTTAAAACCAGCCCGGGGGTGGGGGAATGGGGCGGGTAGTGGGAAATTGGTCAGACTGCAAAGTGAATTCGACCCAGAATAGTATTCTCTATTCTAAGCTTCAAGCACTGTTCAGAAGACGTGGACTAGAATCATCTGAAATTTTACAGTCTGGATGAAGACACACTGATAAATGTAGAGTTTAGGGGAAAAGATGTTTATTTTTGCGAAGATTATTAAATATGTATTAAGCACCAACTGTGACCCCAGAAATTTGCTGGGTATTGTACATAAAAAGGTAAATAGATGATTCTTAGAAAAAAGGTATGCAATTACTGTGACCAGAATCAAAAGGTATAAGAACAGAGGGTTCAGATATCTATTGCTTACATAAGATGTCTCACATATATCAAACACCACATCTAAAACTGAGCTCTTTATTTTTCCTCTATTCTTTTTTTTTTTTTTTTTTTTTGTGCGGTACGCGGGCCTCTCACTGTTGTGGTCTGTCCCGTTGCAGAGCACAGCCTATGGACGCACAGGCTCAGCGGCCATGGCTCACAGGCCCAGCTGCTCCACGGCATGTGGGATCTTCCCGGACCGGGGCACAAACCCGTGTCCCCTGCATCGGCAGGCGGACTCTCAACCACTGAGCCACCAGGGAAGCCCTCCTCTAATTATTCTTAATTGCTGTATTCCCCACCCAAAACATTCTCCCAAAATCAATAACTTAGCACCATATTATTTCTCAACTTTGATTCCCTTCATTCTCTCAAATATGTGAAAACAATCCACTAGAAAGCCCTTTTGATTCTACCTCCATGATATATCTTAAATCTCTCCCCTACTCCAATCCCTACTACAGTATCATAGTCAAACCACCATCATACTTTGCCTATACTCCTACCACAGCCTCCTAAGTACTTGATTTCCCCACTTCCATTCTGTGCCTTTCCAATCCATCTTTTATAACAGCAAGTGTTGCTGCCCTACTTAAAGCCCTTCAGTGATTTCCCTACCATCCTTAAGAATGAGTCCAGATTTCTTAGAATGACATAACAAGACTGTGTGTACTGACCCCCAAATACCTCTGCAAATCTTCTCGTGCCACTCTTCTGCATAATTATTATAGTCATACTTTTTTTTTTCATTTTATCAAGTTTACTGAGTTTTCCCCCTTTTTTAGGGCCTAGGCATTAAACGTTACTCTTCCTGAAATGCTCTTCACTAATTCTTCATATGGCTTTTGTTTTCATTATTTAGGTTCAGACATGACCTCTCCAGAGGTGCCATTCCCTGACCATCTTATCTAAAAAAGATGTCTTTCCTATTATTCTCAGACTCTTGTTTTCTTATCTGGTTGGTTTGCTTTGTTGTTGCCTGACTCCCTCTCTAAACAGAAAGCTCAAGGCAGGACCTCTTTTACTTCAGTATTCTCAGAGCTTGGTATAGGTCATCTCAATAGAAGCCTCAATAAATGTTTATTGAATGAATAAAAGGAAGATAATTGTTTATAATGTGATTTAACTTTTCCTTCCTGTTACTCTTTAGCAGCTACATATACTTAATGCTTGAATATTAGAACTGGAAAGGATTTTTAGAGATCAACTAGTCTAATGTCCTTGTTTTTCAGAGAAGTCAACCAAAGCAAAGAGAAGTCAAGATTACCCAGCTGGTTTTTGGCAGAGAGTCTAGAATCTAGTTTCTCTGACTCTATTTTCACAATAAATCTCTCCTTGGATTGAACAACTGTGGCCCTGTCTAGGCTTGGTGGTTATATTTTTTCATAGTGGAGGGAGTTAAGAATTATTAACTCATTATTCAGGATTATCTGAAAATGAGTTCTTCCCCCCAAGTAAAATTTCTCAAAACTGAGTTACCCAAACTCTGCCTTTTTTGTTGTTATAATGATACACTCAATGATACACATCATATGTGTATAATTAATATATGATATTGTATTAGTTTCAGGTGTGCAGCATAGTGATTCAGTATTTTTATACATTATAAAGTGATCACAGCAGTAAGACCAGTTCCCATACATCACCATACAAAGTTGTTGTAATATTATTGACTCTATTCCCGATATATGCATTACATCCCTGTGACTTATTTATTTTGTAGCTGGAAGTTTGTACCTGTAAGCATTTTGGAAGTAAATCTTGCTAAAGAATGGTGCATTGTCCAAGATTCACATACCAAGGATCCCAAACATAATCTTTACTTACTGACTGGTTTGTTTTTATCAACATTGATTATTGTACTGTCTGAAATACAGCCTTGCCCTCAAGAGCACATTGAAGGGATTTTTCCCAAGCCTTAACATGCTGGTCTTTTTTAAAAAGTAAGACATCTGAGGGTAGTTACCAGTTTCTGGATGAGGCCTTTGTGACTGTTTTCCTTGATGC